CAAAGTACTTTTCATTTTACGCTTCCCTCAAAAATTTCAATCAAACACTCAGCGATACGATAAGCTTAATCTTCTGCCGCCTGCATTTGTACTTTTATTCATGCATTCCATTCTTTATCAATGTCAATAGCACTTTGCACATAAACTTTCTACACTTGTGTTCACTTGAAATTTAAACTTGAGCCTCTTCAATGCTGAATTTCACTAGGATAGCATTCGGACCCTCCTTAAGCAAACAATTCAAGCTGACTAATCTTCAGAAACAACATGAAAAAACAAAAAACAAAAAACAAAAAACAAACTACATAACTCACGTACTCGTGCCTAGTCAGTTTACAATTGTTTTCTCTCTTAGCTTTCGAAATCTCGCCTAGTTCGGTGACTTTAGTTGATGTATGTACTCGTAGTCGTTAGTGTGAAAGATTTGTTTTTGCGTGAAAAAAATTGAGATGGGTTTTACAGAAACCATTGGCTGGAATTGAATAGAATTGTGGCTGGCCGAAAAAACCAAAAACATTTTTTCCAACCACTTAGGCACACGATTGCCATTTCCAATTTATTTTTCGGACCAAAAAATGGACCAATTTTTATTATTTACATCGGGAAATTGAGTGCACTTAATTCCTCTTTGCCAATTCAGTTTTTATAACGATTTTTTTTTTATATGGCATCCAAAGTGCATTACAATTGTATATTATTAACATTATATTATTTAAAGTTTTAAATTATAATTTGTTTCTTAATTTCGTTTTTATTAATGCTAAATCAAAAAATTTGCGCTCAACTGCTGCGGAACTGTGTGGCAGAATAAAAATATTATGAGCTAAATCACACAATTGTCCAATCCAAAGGCCGCTTCACTAAATCCATTTTTAATCAAACTTACTTGATCCCAAAAACGTTCTACATTGGTACAGTTTTTGAAGTTACCTTCTCTCAGCCGCAATTTGCGAAATTGAAATTTAATTATGTCTGCCTCATTTACCAATGCAGGAAATTGGTCGAGTAACGGCAAAATTGATACATCATTGTCAGAAAGAACTTTATGTAGTATAATAATTTCAAGATGTTTAATATCTTTTCGATTGAAATCGAATATTATTTTCTTGTGCTAAATGCTATGATTTAAGTTTTGCTACCTTTCCATATTTTTGCCAGCCACTTTAATATTGGTCACCGAGTAATTGAAATTAGCAAGAAACCGCGATATTTTTTGAAGCGTGCTTTGACAGATGATTAGCCATGCCATATTTGAAGATCACTTTTAGCAGCTGTTGCCAATCGGCCCTATGCGGAATATCGTCATCGTCGACGATCGTCAGCGCATCAGTGGCTGACGATGGCCGTATCGTCACTTTTACTGACAATGACGATATTCAACATAGGGCGGAATATTCATCAATTAAATAGAAAAAATTTAAAACGCGAAACTATTCAGTGATCGGACTTCTCCCACATTGTGGTAGATCTACCACCTTTTTGAGCATCTACCACATCTACCACTCAAGGTCTGAAATCTACCACATATTCGCGTTTTTGATTATTTTTATTTTTGCTCGACATAATTTTCTTAATTATAAGAGCGGAAATTGTTCAACACTAAACACTATATGGTAACAAGAATGATATAATACAAGATTCCGCATTACCGGCGACGATGAAATCTCTCATGTAAAAGTAAACAAAGCCGAATGGGAGGATAAACTTAACTGTAAAATAGTAAATTTTCTCAGTAATAAATTTTTCGACAGGAAACGTGGTTTTATTGTGTTAAATTGCAAAATATATGATTTATAAAAAGAATTAATAGCGAAAATGTTAAAAAGCGGCAAATTTTTGTGAAAGTATTAGCAAATTTAAGTGCACCAAAAGTTTCTGAGGCGTTGTTTACTTTTTTCCTTGAGAATTGTCAAAATCGGCAAATCCCAATTGGCTGTTTCCGGAACGTGCCACATTTGTTTGCTACTTCGTGATGTGATAAAAAGAAAAGCGGGCAGCACTCCGCAAGGTTACAGAAATCTCTTAAACTATGTTCGAAAAATATCTTGATATGGAAGGAACTGCTTTACCCTGTCAAGGAAAAAATTGCCAAAACTCAACGCAATTTTTAGCAACTTCTATTTTGCACTTTATTATGCTAAAATTAAATATGTTTTAGAGTCTAATTAAAAAGTTTGCAATTTAGGTGAGACCTTGCATAATTTTTAAAATTTTTTTACAAAGTTTGATCCAAACCCAGAGATCTACCACATTTTTTTTAAATCTACCACATTTTTTTCCAGATTCTACCACACAGAATTTTTTTGAAGTCCGATCACTGAAACTATTCCATGAAGTGAAAGGGTGATAATAACCTAACCAAAGGCTTGTGAAATGGACCATTTTAAAAAGAATTGGACCAATGGACCAATGGACCAAACGAACAGAAATGCTCCAAATTTGCTCTCTTTAATTGTGCAGCTGGAGTGCCCTTTTTCACTAATTTGTAGCAAGACAAATAATTTTTATTTAAACATACTTTAGTCGCAATATAATTTAGTATGTGCTCCTCCTTAACAGACGACCCGAACGATGACAGGTGCAGCCACTTAAGTCTTTGAACCACTTCCAGTCCCATATCTGCATTAGAACCAATAATAGTTTTTGGTTTTTATTTAATTTTTTCAACGGTAGACCACTGTGACTGCACTGCATTTTCAGCAACAATAATAGGCTCACTTTGTATATCTGCATCCAACGAAGCAGCAGTTTTGTTTATCTCGTTCGTTACATTCGCAGCCCCAGCATTGACATTATTGTTCCAAAGAACAGAACTAGTAATAGGGCGTGCGGCAGCAGCAGAAGTAACAGCAACATAATTACCTAGCGCACAATGAGATTGAAGCAGCGCATTCTCCCCTTCGGTTTCCAACGAACGCATGTGAGTGGTGAGAGCACTAACAGGTGTCGAATTCGCTACTGATTGCACAACAGCGGTATTAGGCAAAATCAAAGTACCAGCAGCAGCATTAGTATTAACTGAAGACTTAACAGAAGGGGCACTAGCACGCGAATTCGTTAATTTTGGCACTTTTGCAGTAACACTATCACTTGATTTAGATTTTGAGCGAGTACCATATGTGTTGTTGCTACTCAAAGCAGGCGAAACTGACAAAAAACACAACCGATAACTGTGACGAGTTTTAGTGTCTTTAGAGGAAACGGATATATAAGTGACGGGGGAATCCATGGTTTTGCGCCACGATACTACAGCAGCGTACGTGACGATTGGTCTGACTAAAACTATGTAAGTATATTCAGAATGCCATAGCCGGCCTCAGGCCCCAAGTCTTACTAAACCTTCTCCGACACTGACCGAAAACTTTCAGCGCTCGATTTACTTTCTGATCAATGTGAGTTTTTCATGTCAGCTTCGTATCCCCTAGATATTTCATATCCATAGAAAGACCAAGGGGTACGCCTCTAGGCACTGGAAGACTGAGACCTTTCAATTTTGTTTTCCGCATAAACAAGACTATGCCACTCTGCAAATCCCTTATAATTTTCGTTCTTTTATATGACGCGACAGAATACACGACGTCTAACAAACAAAAGAAGGCTTTGCGGACTTTGGGGAGAATCTATGGCCCTTTCCGCGTGGGCGATGAGTCCCGAAGATGATGGAATGACGAACTGTACGAGCTTTTTAATAGCATGGACATGTGTAGTTAAGCGCATAAAAATAACAACGATTTCGATGGCTTGGGCATGTTGTGCGCATGGATGACGATGCTCTGATAAAAAAGTCCTTCGACTATGCATTGGTGTAGAACGAAAGTAAAGGCGCCCATGAACACAATGGAAGGACCAAGTGCAGAAGGACCTTTCCGCACTTGGGATGAACAACTGGCGGAAAACTGCAAAGGTGAGAAGCAACTGGCGAAGCTTTTTGGTCTCGGCCCAAACCGACAAACGGTTGTAATGCCAAATACAAAAGAAGAAGCAAATTATGGCAGAGATGTAGCCAAGAAAGTTCAGGCAGCGAAAAAAAGTATTTAACCCTGGACGTGCTTCGTTAGTCGATTCGACTAACAAAAATCGTGTTTCGCTTCGTACCTCTCTCTGAAGTCATTTACCATTTTGTTTATGTGTTAAACCGCTCGAATGATTTTACTTTTTATGTGAAGTATTGGTTGATATCTTCCAGGTATGTTGAAAATAACTGTTATTTTCAATAACTGGTCTTGCATAGTTCACCTGTAGTCGGGGTTGATACCTAGTACGTACATCGAAAAAGTGGCTACCCCGATTTCTCAACTGTGTGGCAGACGGCTACCAAGCTTTAAATGCTTAGTTAATAGCACAAGTTGTTATGGCTGCCGCAAACACGAAGCGCGATATAACGAGCTGGTTTAAATGACGGGTAGGTATTACAGCCCACCCGTTAGTTTTTTTTTTCAATGCAGGCGTTGAGTTTTGAACTTTTAATTGCTACTTCATGCTACTCTTTACGTTTTTTGTGTGTTTGAATAAATAAAGTTAGAAATCTAATTAGGCTTTGAAGAAAACTGTTGCTTACAATTGTTGCTGAGTGACAGACAGCATGGCTGCCGTAAAGGTGAGTGCTGTCTGCTGCAGTGATTTACGGAAAATGGCAGATGAAAAGGTGTGAAATTGCGTTGACAAGGATATACAAATAAATGTATGGAAAATATCTAGTTGCCTTGTGAATGGATATCATCAAAGTAGATTAAAGAAAAACAATAAAATTAACAACTAAAGCAAGTTTGATGAAACAAAATAAATCGAATTAAAACAAACCTAAATACATAAACTCATCTCGTGTTGCATTTAAGTACTTGCTCTTGAAATACGTATGTACTTACGTTTTTGAGCAAATATGTATGCAACACATAGTAAATATTTAAAAAAATATGTATAGTAAATTACTTACCGTCTCCAATTGCTTCATATAATTCGAAACTATATTACCGGCTTGTATAAGCGGTC